CAAAAAATTAACAAAATCTAAGTTAAATCCCAAACTAATTAATTTCCAAAAAAAGGAACTAAATCCTAATTTTAAAAGAGAACTAGACCAAAAAAAAAATGTAAAATGTAGAATTAAAAAAATGGTAAGAAGACTATTTTTGTTATTTTTTCTCCTATTTTAGTAATGTTAATTAATTAACAATATAAAATCAAATTCTAAATGCAAACAATTTTTTTTGTATTTTTATGAATTATAGCAACTAAAAATGCACACATGAATGCAAACCAGACGTAAAATCTTGCAATAAATTCCTAAAAATCTAAATAATAAAAGAAAAATTCTAATTCTAATGAATTTATAGGAGTAAATTAAGCGTGGCAAAAATCACGTGCTCACAAATATACGTTTCCCCTGTTTAAAGATTAATATTTCATATACGCTACAAACACGAATATACTTCAGAGAAATCAAATTATCAAATTAGAAATCCCAACCCAATAATCTTTCTATTGATTATACAAAAAAGAAACGAAATTATGAAAACTTTTACCAATTTAATGTTAGAGAAGAAGGAGAAGAAGAACTTAGAGAAGAAAAAGAGCAAAATCGAAAGAGGGGGCATACCTGGGATTCACGAATGAGCGAGGTCGAAAACTAGGGTACACCTACGATTCACCAACAAACAACTTTGCAATCTTTGCTTTGACAAAATACAGATTTTGAGAGATGGAGAGAGGGAGGCAAACCTGCGTTGTTTATTAGAGACTAGGGCAAAGTAGTCGTGTATTGAGAAAACAGAGAGTTTTTTTAGTTTAAGAATTTTTTATTTTAATTAGTATATTAGTTTTGGCGCCTATTTTTTAGAAAATAATAACTTTTTAATATTTTAGTATTATATTTGGCGGTATTCTCTCCCGCTCATGGCCCCTCAATTATAATTTGGGACCATTTACTAATTTCTTTAGGGACCAGATTTAGTACCTTCACAATAAATTACAGTATTAAGGACTACAATATAATTTCGTCCTAATACATATACATTTAGAGACGAAATTATTAACTCGTCCCTAAATGTTGATCGCAGATAAGGCTTTTTCTTGTAGTGTTAACTGAAATATGTTTTTGGAATTATACTCTGTTAACCTTTCATTTGATTTGAGGTTGAATGGTTGTCGGATTGTGATAAATTATAAGAATGATGTGAGGTCTTGGTCCATCTTAATTAAGTAAACCGATAAGTTGTTGGACTAAGCTAAAATTAAATATGGGCTCGTCATTCATATTGGTAAGAACTAGAATGGCCATTAGTTGAGCTGTGATTGTGCTGCGAGATGCGAGTCTTAACCAAAACTAGGAGAAATTGAAGTTTAAATATTTTATCACTTTATTTTATTGTTGTATTTTATTTGCTCAGAACTGATAGGAGCAAGCTAGGTCTGATAACACTTGGGTAGGCAAACTTTAGGATTTTCTGTTTCTTTCGAGATTAGAGGTTGTACCTTAGTTTATTATTTTATTCAAAAAATGCCCCGAGAAGCTTGTAAATATTATTATTCGGGTAATGCCCCGAGAAGCTTGTAAATATTATTATCTGAAAAATGCCCCGAAGTACGTAGACGGGAACGTACAGGAAGCATAGTGCAGCTTAGTTTAGGACTTAAATTTTCTTTTCTTTTTATTTTCCTTTATTTAGGTAGGGACAACCTCGAACCTATTTTGTGTTTATGCTCCTTTTTGTGTGTTTTACCTTAATTTGAGTATTCTTAAAAGCCAACTAAATCATGTATGCAACCGTGACTGCGTAACACCTTCTTCTCGAGTCAAAGTCTTTGGTGCAAATCAGTTTGGAGTCAAATGTGTTTTGAAAGAAAAATTATTTTCAAACGGTGACTTGGCACACCAAATTTCTATGTCAAGTGAAAACTCTGAAAGTTCTTTCAAAACGCAATCATTTTGTCACATTGAAATTGGAAATCCTTTTGAGCTTTTAAAAATCACCGTATCCTCTTTTAAAGGATTAAGGTTAAAAAAGGGATGTGACAAACACAACTGAGGGTTTCTCTAATTACGCTACATATGAAAATAGGATCAAACAATCAAAAAGAAATTGCTGAAAAAGAGCTTTGCCTACATTTACAAACTAAGTTACAACTGTGAGCTCCGTAGCAACACAATCTGGATCACGTGAGACCGCTGGTGCATATCTAATTCCCAACAAAAAAATAAAGAAATAAAGAAAAGTTCACACATGAATGAAAATCCAATGTCATTATCACCTTGTCCCAGAATTGGCTGCAGGTAGGGGTGGCAAATGGGCGGGTAGGGTTGAATTTGGGCGGGTCAAGATGGGTTAAGTCAATAAATAGGTTATTATCCAATCCAGCCCAAAGTGTACTTGGGCTAAGATGGGCTGGGTCAAGATGCTAAACAATGGGTCATAGCCCAACCCGCCCAACTTGAACAATATTTTAGAACCATGCTCATCTTGCATAAATAAAGCATTTTATTTTTTGTATACCTATTTAGTATTCTGAGAATCAAAATATATTTTCTTAAATAATAAATTAGTATTTAAAATTTGTAAGTTAAAGATCTTTTATGTTATTTCTAAATAATTAAATTTTACCACAACTCAATTACAAAATTATTCATATTAACATTAAAACTTAAATACCTTGATTCTCATTTTTAAACTTAGATACAAAAACTAATGATGGGAAAATTAAGTAAAATTCTAGATAAGTTGGGTTGAGATCCCTTTGTTTTGGGTGAGCTTCATGGGTTGTATTCGGGCTACTTCATGGGTCAAAATGGGCTATAAAAAATGATGAGTTAACTTGGTGTCACGACCCAAACCGATGGGGAGACGGGCACCCGGTACCTTACTCAACCGAGTACCAACGTAACGTATCTTTTCATATCATACTATCATAGATAAGTTAGATGGAAAGGCTGTCGTGAGATAACAAGAATAAAACATGAGGGAGTACTTGACATAGGACGACCCAATATGATATACTGACTTATATATATGACGTATGGGCCTATAAGGCCGGCATGATCCTTTATATACTCATAACATAGGCCGACAAGGCCATACAAGTATCCGTATACATGACATCTGTCTACAAGCCTCTAAGAGTACATAATATCATAAAGGTCGGGACAGGGCCCCTCCATACCAATCAATATATGTACGAATCATACTTACCAAAGAAGCAACTCCGGAGCAAATGGAGCGCACCAACACCTTCCGCTGAGCTGATAGCCTACTTGATGGACTCTCAACCTGTCTATCGGGACCTGCGGACATGAAACGCAGCGTCCCCAGGAAAAAGGGACGTCAGTACAAATAATATATTGAGTATGTAAGGAATGAAAATCAGTAAATAATAGAGATGAGAGAAACATGGAGTAAAAGACTCAACATGTAAGTCTGAATAGCTTTGTGAATCATTTAATCTTCATAATGTCATGCATATGCATATAAATGGCGTATCATGCATAGGTATATGCGTTCATAACATCATTAAGCCTCTAAGGGCGTTCCATCATATCATCTCGGTCACTGTGGGAAAGTAAAAATACAACACAAGGGAAAATGAGCAAGTGAGTGTCTTACCTGGTGGACTGTGTCATAGTAAAAGTCATTTAGCATGATTGTCACATGTTCTTGTCGTCCTCTTAACTTCCAAAACTATTTGCCCCTAGTTTCACTTAATTCAGGCTTTAAAATGATCTCAAAATATCTAAATCTTTACTTATTTCCTCAAATGCCTCTATCATCGTCAAAAGTTGTTTCATTATTCCATGATTAGTAAATTCTAAGACCGGACTAAAAATTCCCATGCACGTCATGTCACTTGAATCAACACGAAAAGAACTATAAAAGAAAAGAAAACTAAACAAAAACGACTAAAAATAACATGAGATTGAATTAAATAGATAATAAAAGAGTTTGAACAACAAAACAAGTAAAATAAAAATCTGGGTTACAACCCTAGAACAATCGGATGGCACTAAGCGAGTTAATTAGACTAAATGAACTAGGTAAAAAAAAACGGATAGAAGGTTTCGAGTCACAAGACAATATCCGAATTACAACCCTGAAATAACCCGGATAACAGAAATGACAACAAAATAAACTACCAAGACTCTTTCCTGACTAGCCAGGAAATGATTGTCTTTCCAATTACCAAGCTCGACATCTTAGCCACTGAGTTGCACATCGACACTACTAGGACCTTCATAGGTCTCAATCACATTGACCTAAGCAAATGCTTTTGGGTCCCTTTTACCAACTCGTTCTTAAGATAAACTTCTAGAACCGAGACTGATAGCACTGAAAACTTCGCGACAAGTAGCTTGCAAAGGAACTTGGAAGAGCTCTCATATCCATTTTCAACACAAACCATGCCCTCCATATACGTCTCATCATGAACAAGCAATGGCCTTTGGCTAGTATCTGTTGCATCTGGATTTTGCACGATAATGTCACCTGCATCAATAAGCTTCTGGACTGCTCTTTTCAAATGCCAACACTGCTCTCTATCATGCCTCGGGACATCAGGACAATACGCGCATCTCAAAGAATAATCAAGGTTCTTTGGAAGGGGTTCGGCATTTTTATCTGAATCGGCTTCAACATGTCCAATCGCCTCAACTTTTGGAATAAACTGGCATATGATTCTCCAATAGGAGTGAAAGACTTTTCTCTTTGCTGCTGCCTTTTCATTTGTACTCCGACCTCGGTTGGAACCTCTTGCGGGTAGGTTATTGATATGCTTGTGGAGGTGGTGCAAGTCATTGTTGGTCTTGAGGAGGTGGAGCATATGGCGGTGCATTCTGGATAGAGTACTCGGAATGTGAGATATGACTTTAGGGATTTTATGGGTTGGGGAGGATTATTTGGAGTGTGGATAACAATAGATTTACACAAGAATTAAATCTACTCATTGACTCCTCATTATTTTCTGACACACCAAATACCAAGTTATTCACTTCTTGAATCCCCAATCTGAATAAAACTCTGAATTTATTACTAGAATCAGTATCCAAAAAAGTTGTCTAGAACAGGAAAAAAACAGAAAAAAATAGAGCTGAGATACCATCACTTTGACTAGACTAATGAAATATATGTTTACATACGTAGAAAGTAACTGGAGAAAAATAAAGTCAGCAGAGAACTTGCCATTTATTTTTTCTCCTTCAGTATTAAAGTCGAAACACACCCAATTTACTACTACATAAATCCCAAATAAACCAAAAGAATACTAAAAATAAATATTAAAAAAAGTCCACCCTACCAGAAACAAGAAGATGAACACGCAGTAGTATAACAATTATTACTGGAATTGTGAAGTCGGCGAAAAACCCTTCTTCTTCTATAACCAAAGATGCCATATTTGAGCCTCAACCAAACCAATTTTCTGATTTTTCTTGCTGATTTGAGCTTTACCCATATCACCCTTTTCACTCTAAAGAATGAATTCTTCATCTTCTCAGTAACACTCTGCTTCCTGCTAAATTGATAGCTTCTCAAAAAAAGCTGCCTCTTTTCTAAGTCAGTGTACCCTGTTTCTGCCCCATAAGATATCTGTTTTACAGCCATATTGTCCATAGAATATATATATATATATAGATAGATATACTGATCTTCTGTATATATATGTTGAGAGAGAAATAGGAGTTTGCGGTGAGAGAAAGAATTAAGAAGGTAGTGATATAATGGTCGTGATATATATAGGTGGAGAGAGACGGTTAGTTGGAGTCTGAATGCTCTTTATATTTTAGGCCATGCTCTGTATTAATTAATTTAATGCCATCGTGGGGATGTGCCTAGATTTTAAATGTAATTGACTTTTTTATTTTCCTTTTTTCCCGTTCTTTCCTTTTTTTTTTTCCTTTTGCCATACGTGATTGAATTTTTGATAATGGACTTTTCTTTTTAAATAATAGTGGCATATTTTAAATCAGCTTAGAATCTCCACAACAATTATATTTGATATCTGCTTTAGCTCTTATTAAGTGTCTGATAATATTATTTATCAAAATTTAAACACCTTATGTTTTTCTATTAGAATTTGAACTATAGCCTAACATGATTTTCGTCCGTTTCATTGCCCTTTGGGTTATGCCTTAGGTGCTACACAAGGAAAATGTTGATCAAATTAGTCTTCTTTTTTCCTTTTTTTTATTTATTGTACTATATTTTTGCTCCTTATTTTTAAGTGGTCACGTGAATTTGTGGGTGTCGACGTGAGAAATTTGAGCAAGTTTTGGAGAGAGAGTCACGTGACTTGGAAGGGGTTGTTTTTGTTAGTTTTTGCATGCTTGGCAATTTGAGCAGTTTGGATCTGTTTTTTCTATTTGAGACGTGGGATAACTCACCCACGTTAGTTATTTTTTGACTTCTTAATTGTGCATTTTTTTTCCTTTTTGGTATTTTTTGAAAAAAACGTAAATTTTGAGTATATATTTTCCTTATTTTGATTTATTGCAAGAGTAATGAAAGCATGATAAGATCTTCTCCCATTTAATTTTCTTCATTCATCATTCATCCAAGCATGCAATTTGAGGATGGCACACGATTTTTCTAGCTAGTATTTGTATTTGTTAGACAATAAATGTTCAAGTCTTCCAAATTAAGTCTCTAATTTCTTTTTTATCTGATATTATATTTAAACTTTGACTTATATGGATAGATTCTTTATTTTTCGATATATGTACTAACAAATATGTCAGGTTATTGGGAGAAATTCAAAAATAGCGATGTGCACAAATAGCCACTAACAGCACTATCTTTATTTTAAAGCCAGTGTTTTAAATGTCTTTAGTTTTTAGCCACTGGTTTAATAAACTTATAGCTGACTGAACGAAAATACCCTTCTGCTATAACTTATACGGTAACATTAACGAGCAGCAGCAGCAGCAGCGCAGCAGCAACGCAGAACTTAAGTTTGACTTTCTGGTTAAAATTATGGACAGGAAGTCCTAACGTATAGTTCAAAGTTGAAAACTTAAGGACTCCTGTCCTTAACTTTGATTTCAAAGATTAAAAGTTAAGGACAGGAAGTCCTTAACTTATAGTTTCAAGTTTAAAACTTAAGGACTGTCTGTCCTTAACTTTGAGTTTTAAGTTCAAAAGTTAAGGACAACATGTTAAAAAATTACCAGTTAAATTGATCGATTTAGAGAAGATGACAGAGAAGATGAAGAAGGAGAAAGATTAACTGAAGCTCGTTTGCATGCGAGGATGATACAGTAGCAGAGAATACGCAAACTTGCCCCTCTCTCAAATTTCCCTCTTCTGAATGAAAAAACAAGGGTTTTGGGCCTTTTGGCATATGAAGGAAGGGTAAAACAGTCTTTTCCCTATTAGTAGTGGCTATTTTTGCTGAGCATTATAATTAGTGGATAAAAATTAAAGACACCCTTAATTAGTGGCTACTACACGCCATTTTTACCCAGATTTACGAGTGGTCATTCAAAAATAGCCACAGTTTCAAAAGTCATCGTAATTTAGCCACTCTTCATGTAAAGATAAATCTGAACGAAAACACTGTTCAAAATCCGGAAAAATACTCCAGCATAATTTACTAGAGTTCCAGCATAAGTATGCTGGAACTCCAGTATATTATACTGGACCGGTCTCTGTTGCAGCAAAATAGTGACTATTTTTCAATGATTTGACAAACGCTAGCTATTTTTGAACGACCAGTCCGAAAACTAGCTTGTCCGTGCTATTTTGACCATGTTATTTATTGCCAATAACTTGAAGTACTTGTGCCAGCAAATTAAGATCTCTCTTTGTATTATAATTATAATGTAAATCCAATAAAAAGAGTACATCGGCATCATATTCGCTTAAGTGTTGATATAAAAAATAAGGTACAATTAAAAAAAAAACAAATTAAATTTGGATGAAAGTTTACCCTAACTGTTTCCGCTAACAACCTTAAAGAATGAAACGGGAAATGAATTCTACTAGATTAGAAAAAAAATCGTAATTTTAATTTATGATACTGAGTTTTAATAGAGAACCAAATTCTATTTACAAAACTCAAGCATTACATGCAGAATTCCAGACATAAAACTCTCAAACTATATCAAATGCGATAACGTTTTACAAAGTTTATATCAAATAATTAGTCGCATTAAGTATAAACCAAACCATATAGTAATTTTGTCCTATAAATGTCTTTACCAAAAGTCAATATAAGAAGACGAATCTTAAAGAAGAATCAGAAACAAAGGGATTCCTTAAACCCACTGAACTCCTAAGTTAATTTCTTGCAAAAATAATCTAACATAAGATAAGGTGGCGCCACGAATGACTGTATCTTAATACGAATTACATAGAAATTCAAGAAAGACAGGTTGGAAAAATAAATTAAGTCAAATGTTAGCAATGAAAATAAATCAGAGAATTCAGATTTTATCACAATAGGTGTAACCAATCCCTTACATTTGTGTATGTCTTCCAATACAATGTACTTAAAGCAAACAAATTATTAACTTCTACACCAAGAATTGGAGGCGCCACTTGTCCTAAATTATTGGAGTATAGCTAAAGAGAGAAAAACTATCAAATAATGATTTATCTTCTATTAAATTAATTTCTAATTAATCTCCACCTTTATACTATAAACAAACCGGCATTTATCCATAATAATTGTTTTACTATATTAGCTACATGCTGTTCCGTTCTCAACTTCTAAGAATATGTTCTTCAATTATAAATTTACGTACTTTAATATTGATCACGCCCAACTATGCCTTATAAAAAGGACAATGCGGTCGCTGCAAATATAATCCGGTTTACAAGTCCGGAGTCGATATCCCACAGAGAGTTAACCTATCAGTTGCAACCTTCAGACCCACCAAGTCTTCAGAATCAGCTTCCCAAATATTTAAATTCTCAATTGAGTGTTCTTTACTAACTAACTTTCAAGTAACTACAATGCTATAACTAATAAAAAGGGTTGTAAACAATTATGAGAAAAAGCTAAGGCAATGATTTCCCCTATTGATGGAATCCCTTCTGTTTATGCTCATACAAATTCACCCACACACCTCTATCAATCATGAACACTAATCTTACCGCAAATCTCTCCCGAGTAATCACAGTAATCTACTATTGCACTCTTCCGAGATACACTAGCTTGCTTTATTTAGCACAATTCACTTTAGATTGCACCCAAGGCTTCGTTATTCCTAATCCCGCCTTTAAACCCGCAATTATAGATTCCTCTAATAATCTAGGAGTGGTGTTGTTCAACAAAACCCTAAATATGCACTCTTTTCCAAGTTATGCACACTAAATAGGCACAGCTAATTGAGGATCCTGTCAATTAACTACAACGAACACGAAGTTGAACAAATAAAGATTAAACTAGCAATGTGTATTCACATAAACAAGAAGTTCATCACCCAATAGGTTCCATCAAAGCCTTAGACAAGAAATTTAGCTACTCATAGTTATGGGAGAATAAACTAAACTTGAATTCATCATAAAATCAAAAGAAAAGAAGAAAGATGTTTAGAGTACTTTTTCACAATTGTTCTCCTTGCTAAGAAACCTAAAAAATCAATATATGCCTCTCTTGGGCGAAGTCTAGTGTTTAAAATAGGGTTTAGGTCTAAAAATCCCGTGTTTTACACTTTGGTCCCCGAAGTTTCTGTGTCCACCGCGGTTCTACCGCGATCGCGGTAGAACCGCGGTAAAATACCCTCGCGGATCTTCAATTGTTCAGAGACTACCTTCCACCGCGGTTTCACCGCGGTCGCGGTGGAACCGCGGTAGACCCTGTATCCGGGCAATTTGGCCTGTTTTGAATGGGTCACTTGGGAAATGCAACAATTAGCCTTTTTTTTCATCAATAGTTGACTCCAAACTGCTCCTTAGCCTTCCTTACACCTATATCACCTGCAAATCATGAAAAGTACCAATAAGAGCATTTTGTTGTCATTTTTCCACATTAAAGTTCACAAGAAGGTGGTTATTCGGTGC